AATTATGGATTAATAGTCTAATGTCACAATTTCCTCTAGTATGTTATTAATGCGATTAGCATTGTGTGAAATAATTATGTGACTCAATAAATCTTTCTTTACATAAAAACAACGATTATTGTGTTAGACACAAGCCGAAAAGGATGATTGTGAGGGTTTTTTTTATAGATTACTTTTATTTCACAAAAATTTTGATCACATATGGTATCGAAAATCAAAAGGCATTAGATAACTTTTTCGTTCATCTATGAGACACCTTAGTGATGTTCATTCTATACTTTACCAATGATTACTTTCAGTATTGTTAAATCTCGCAGTATGCTTTGACAATCAACAGTGAATAGCTTTAAACTCAATGCAGACCTAATACAATTGCTAACTACTGTTTCACCTATAATAGATCTAAATCTTACCAGTCACAACTAACTAGAGAGCGTTACTGAAGAGTCCTTTACTTCGAACGAAACGGATTACTAGTAGTCCTTGACCTTAAACGCTACCCTAAGATACATTTGTGACGAATGCCACTATAAATTGGAAATGTATTGAAAATAGATTCCAATCATATATATATATATATATATATATATATATATATATATATATATATATATATATATATGCAGAAACATACTGAGATGTAGCATATTGATATAGTAATATGCTTACTGATTAAAAGCAACTTTTTACGAGTATATCGTAAGATTGAAACTAATCGGATAGTAACCTTGGTTCTTACAAATTAAAGTGTGTGACACAATGTCAATTATCCCAGTATACGTCTAACAAAGTGAGTTACATTTGTTTTATCATTTTCATTATAATCAACTAAGGATTTAAGAATTTCAAGCAGCTAATAAGAATATAAAATTCACGTGGTATTAAGCAAAGATAAATAGTGGCTAGCAGTGGAATTCAGAAAGCACGTTTCGTCCCATTCAGGACTCATCAGCTGGATGTAATTGCATCTCAGAGAATAATAATCAGTAATTTTGTATCAATGATAATATGTTAATTGATAAATTATACTAACTTGTCAATATTGAAATCTTTGTTTATCGACACATTTGTCTTATTTACAGTCAATTCATAAAATGCATAAAATGTATGATACTTATGCTAAAAGAAATAAATCTCTTAAGAAAAAACTTTTGCAGAAGTAAAAAATGTATCGATAATATATCTGACCTACTGAATAAATTAACTGAGATAAAAACAAAAGTCGAATATTAATGAGATTAGCTAACAGAGAGTTTTGGTTAGTAAATATATATATACATCTATATATATATATATATATATATATATATATATATATATATATATCTTTTTATGGGGTCGATATCTAAAGAGTTCTTACTAAAAGCATTATTCATTTACTTGTCTTTAAATCATACTCTTAGCATGAAATCCGATGGAACCTACTGGTTACTTAAAAACATCTGGATGGATGTGATTACATAAATAAATGTTGAAACAATACAATTTCATAGTATTTATTGACTATGACTTATCTACTAAATAAATTTTAATGCTTGTAGAATGATGGATTAATTATTTTTTCTCTAGTCGACTATTATATGACTGCCAAGTCTAAAGAGTTAGTGTCGTGTTACGTATCAACCAGTCATCATCAAGGTAGAGGCTGACATCGGTGTATGTTGTCATACCACAATAGCATAAGATGAAGTTGACATGGTAAATAACAAAAAAGATTGAAATAAGTTAGTAGCAATAACAATAAGAATAAACATTAGTATTATCCTTTAATAAGACAGTTTGTAACCAAATATTTCCTTGATTGTGACTGAGTAGTTTGAATCTAGTTACACAGCAGAGACCAACATTTATTAATTTATAAAACTAAGACCTCATTTTTGTTTCACTGCTTTATCTTCAATAGATGCTCCGAAGAATATTTTAATCAAAGATTTATTGCCTGTGTATGCCTTTCTCCTTTCAAAGACAACGATAAAGTAATGCAGAGAGAACTGCTGAATCATATAAACGCCATTTTGTTGGAAGACGGACATGTCATTTACTCTGCAAATGACGTTAGGCGGGAAAGCTAACTGAGCTTTCTGAATCCAAGCCAAAATTTTGCTGCAAACAAAAGTACTAGGAGTGATGGGACATACATTAACCGGAAAAGAAACACAATCCAAAAACTTTAGAAATGTCGCGCAAAACGATCGAAATACTCAGCATTGAGTAAGCATCTCCACTAAATAGGAATATATCTACGTACTTTTAATTTGAAAGCAAACCTCCTGGCAAGGATTAACTCATTGAAAACTTAGACTGATTACTTGTAGCAATAGATAAACATGTACTAAGTCCAATTTCTAAGTAATAAATAGATTTATTCGTAAGTAACGCTCGTCACATACTAACCTTTCAACTGAAGAATGTTTGAAAAACCGAAAAAATCCATAAATATTTTTTGATTTACTCATGGACTAATCAAGTTACAAATTTTATGTAAACTACTTCACAAAAAAGTGTCCATTAATGATAAAAAACATTCGCTTCTACCATTGACCAATCTTTCATTTGTATTCATTGGTATAACAAAGAGCGACTTGAACTAAATAACCATTCAGTATAGTTTTCGACGGTAGGAACAAAACTATGATCACGTTCATGTGAATACCGCTTAAAAATAAAAAGAATCCCTTGAACATGTATTAAATCACTGATAGCCCCAAAATGCCGTGGTACAGCCGAGAGTAGTAAGAGTCCACTCTCCCTCTCCAAATGCTCTCACATGGTCACATACATACAAGCACTAACAGGGAAGTCCTACTCAATGACCTCGCGCACCAGGGATGTTGTTTGCGAAATTGAGAATTAAAACCGAATGTCCAGAGGATTACCCGGGTTAGCGGATATGGAGGATCCACTTAGGGGAGTTGGAAAACCCAGAATCGAAATAAGCAGCTTCAGGATCCTGAGATAACAAAAGGTGTATGAACCAATTGTTGGTCACCTGCTACCATGTGACTGCATTTCCTGACGTTTCTCCATTGCCTGGTGGATTAGACCTCTAGGTGTGGCTCCTAATAAAACCACCTGCTTCGGTCTGGACACCTATACAGTATCCCAGCCCTCACACAAATCGAATGATTTATATGGTGCTTAACTATTTGATGCCTCCTTACACCAAATTTAGTAATATTATGAGGCAAGTTATTTTTGCTAATAAAAATGCCAATACATATTCCATGTATTTATATTAATGAATAAGGGAAAAAACAATATAAATTCTATACTTAATTTTGTACTTTATGCAGTATAAATATTAAAGATCATTCTGTGTTATGCACAAGTGAGAACAAGAGAAATCATCATTTTATTGACTAATTGTATATATAAACAGGAATTTTATAATTTCTTCATGTATCACAGTGGTTTTGTTGTTGTTGTTGGTAGAATTCCCAGTACCATCTATTCAATCATTTAATCAATGAATCAATGTATAGTCATTAAAACAAATAATAATGATGAAAAAAAAATCCAGTGTATCAAAAAATATTTTCCATATAAATTATCGAAGTAAACAATTGGAAACTTGTTATAACATGCTGATCTATTATATCCAATGTATATTTGTATGAGTAATTTTGGTAAAAGAAATGGGTAAATATTTAAGTACCAGTGTGTGTGTGAGAGAGAGAGGGAGAGTGTGTAATTTTTTTGTTTCTTGGAGAATAATCATGATCAACATGTTCAATATCTTGACTTTTAAGTTTATTTCAGTCATTTCTTTCTCTTTTAATTTATTTAGGCTACTGAATTTATTCATAATGGTTTACATAAATATGTTCAATACTAATTTAACTCAAACCTATAATCAATTAACTGGCGACCATTCAATATTTATCGCAAAGGTCGATTACTATATTGTACCAAAAATGGAATATTGAATAAAGCCACCAATAGTAATAATAATAAAATCAAGGTTCAATTTATTAAAAATGAGGTATTCTGATTGATCCCAATTGAAAAATGATATATTATTGAAATCAATTAAATAAAATGATTTTAAACTATAGAACCTCAATTGAAATCAAATTAACTTAATGAACTTTCTTTTTTCTTCTTCAAAGAATATATTTCATATATATTCAGTATTCATAGGTACAATATTTGAAATAGTAGCTAAGGTCTACAACCGTGATCAATTAGTTATATTATCAATTATATTAGGTAGTGATTATAATTATCATTATCAAAGTTCATAGTTTGGAGTCATTTACATAAAATTGTATTGTACAAGAAATAATGTAAAAACGTTGTATAGTTAATCAGTTGTAGGAAAATATATTTGTACCGTGGTTCTTATTTTCATATGACATCACAATGGCAATATGAAATTATGTAGCAAAATACCAGAGTGATAGAAGTAATAACAGACATAGCATCAAACATAATAATAAGTTGGAATACAAAATCTAACATGATTTTGAAAACTGAAATCTAAGGAAAGACAAGGCATGATTGCATTTGAGCTATTGTAATCGATTGTGACCCAACTCATGTAACATCTTTAGCAACTGATTTATTATTTTAATCCAGATCGTCTAGTGTACACCTACTTATTCAATTCAGTTCAACAAGTAATGGCTTCGTTGGCCGACATCATGCTTTATTAACAACCATATACAAGGATAGTCATATTCATTTAACTAGTCCCAAATAACATGAAGTTGGCTTTCTTGATGTACCTGCTATGCTCAGTTTAACTATATGAATGATTTATGAGCTGTTTTCTTTTCATTATCAACTGTCACCAACTAGAGTAGTATAATATATCAAAAAGCATTGTTCTTCGGTAGTTTGACATTCTTCAACTATTTACAATCACAATGTCAGCCACTCAAATTCTCTTACAATAGCTTCAATTAATATAAGTCAATGACAAAAACTACCTTTTCATCATAAAAACTATACAGTTCAACAATTACTTTTGAAATAATAAATGAAATTCACTAACTTACTTGATGTTTGTTCCATGATGATGTATTGAAGTTGTTGTGTAATCATGTCCACATGGTATTGTCTCCATGATACAATCACGTCTTTTATCATTCATTAAACAAGGATAATAAGTGTATTGTAATAAGTCAATTACTTATAGTATTAACAAAATGATTATACGTATTAATGATTGTGATGATAATGTTCGTTCTGTTGAGATTCACATACACAATTAATACATTAATAAACAAGAAGTAGAAGAGATTTTATTGTATGTTAATTCAAATGTGGAATGATTGAAACCAGAACTCTTTTGATTATATATGTTTGTATTTATTTATATATTACAATGAATAAATGAATACAATGTCTGGTTGGTTAGCTTTTAATGAAAAAAATTTCTATCTAAAGCAGTTTTATTAATAGATAAATGCACAAACAATACATAAACACACAAACATACTAACATACATACACCATTTGATCTTAAGAAATATTGGAATGATTATTATTATTTGTTGCCTATACACATGTATGTTACTTCTGTGCGTTAGTTATTATTTTATTTTGGTTTGTGTATCCATCTATCTATCTCTCGCTCTATATATATATATATTTGAATTTGCTTATGGGGGCGGTTAGTAGGGTTGAATATAATCTAGTTTTAAAATTCTCAAGTTGGATTGGTTTTTCTAATTTTTAAGATAATTGTGCTTAAAATGTGCTAACAACAATATCCAACTTTTTATAATATATGAACTGATTGTACAGGCAATATATATTTTATCCATTTATGATCGTCTGTTTATCTCTTAGATAAGGAGTCTGAATGATATGTGTATTAATCTATTTACTATTCATGTATGCTTCTGTGTATAACATATATGTGTGTGTACATAGAGAATATAGATGTTTCAAATTAAGGAAATATGTATAATTGAACTAATTTGATTTAATAAACAGAATATAACTTATACACTAGGATCATATCATTATATACAAACATACATACACACTTTATATTTCACTTCAATGTATTACCATTAATATTAGTTACCAAATCAAAAAGAAGCTTTATCATCTATCTTTATTTACTAAGGGGTTTTTATTGTTATCATTAATATTGTTATTAGATTAGTGAGAGGAAATTTTATATCACACTTTTTTTTTTAAACCAATCATTGAATTGTATTTCAAAAAAAAGAAGGGAGAAAGTGAGAAAACTTTGCATTTCTAATGAAATGAAAATCTTATGTTATCTCATTAATGTGACACAATATTAGAATGTATGAATAGAATATGGTTCATTTCATGATCATTGTAGTATAGAAAGAAAATCGATAAAAATTATAATATTTTGCATTCAGTATGATTCTATCGTGAAGTTTAACCTTGTTCAATGGTGGTGACCATGATAATGACAAGTAATCACAAAAAAAAACTGTGAATTTGTCAATTGGATTTCTAAAAGTATTATTGTTAAGCCAAAATTATGAACTTATCGATGTATATAAACGAAGTATGTTAGGTAGAGATGAATGAGGAGTAGCAGTGGAATTCAGGACGAGCATACAGTCCTATATTTGGACCCGTCACCTGGATGTACCAATATCTCAGAGCTTATGTTCACTCCAGTACTTGTATCCAGTACCGTCCGCTACAAATGCCATTGTGTTATCCAATTATCCACTAGTTCGTGCAATGGGGTGAATATGAATTCATTATTGTATTGACCGTTTGAATTTTCCTATTGACATTTAGGACTGCAATTGAAGTGTCTTTTTGGAATATGAATTGCCTCGATATCGCATTATAAACAGAGATGAACGGTAGCTATCGGCTAAATCCAGGACGCGCGTTTTGCTCAGTTTAGGAATTACTGACAACATTGCGTCAGTCCGTGTAGGATTCACACATCGCCGATAAGAGATTGGTCAGTCACAGTCTTGAACATTAACAAGAAGATACAAAAATACATTAAAATGGACGAAGTTTGTGTTATAAGAATGACGATAATCTTCAGAAAAATGTGTGGAACTGACAAATCTTAGGGGGCCACACTCGGAGCATTTGACCTAAAGGTCTGACCCACAAGGCAGTGGAGCAGTTTTGAGAGACGCAGTCACATGGTAGCCGATGACGAAAAATTGGTCCATACGCCACGTGCACCACTGATTTGAATTCAGGATTTTCCCACTCCCCTAGATGGATTTTCCATATCTACCGAACCGGTTAAAGCGCCAGACATTCGCTTTTTGCCCGCTTAATTTTGTAAACAACCCCCGTGGTGCGAGGAGGCAGTGAATGGGATTTCCTTAGCAGTGCCTGTATACGTATGGCCATATCAGAGCATTTTGAGAGGGAGAGTTGCCCAGGGCATTTGTGGGCGCCACAAACTGTAATGAGACGTAACGACAGCCCGGTGTTTTCCTCAGACAACTAGTATCCGCATTTATGTTTTTTTTTCAAACAAATATTTGAATTAAAGAAAAAGTCGACCATAAAAAGTGTACACTACAATTATTGTCCATTGCTCTGAGGCCAAAAATGTGCAGTCAGCATGTCAAAAGCTACTCATAAAAAGCAGTATTTGACCGGTCTCAAGCAGTTGTCGTGTTGGCTCTGTGGTAACACTCTCAAGCCATCGAAACTTCTACTAACCAAATTTTCTTTTCAGGAACCGTACTAAGCAATATCGCTCCATTTTGTAAACAACCAAAAGGTCACGACTTTATTCATACCTCTGACAGAACTCGGACTCATCATCCGTATATTCCCTATCCTTAATTTATATTTCTAAACATATCTTCTGTTTTCACTCTCAATCCTGGTCCTCTTATGTCAACTTTTTCCACATATGTCACCTGTGTTAGCAATATAATTTCATGAAACGTCATTTGTTTAAACAGCATTGATAAACACACATCGGAGTTTTTAATATTTGAACCTTACCCTAAGTCAGGAAACAAAGATCTCTGACTTAGAACTCACTAATGTCGAGCAATATAAGTCATTTTTTGGTTCTGAAAAAATGATATGTAGGACCCATGTGTGGCCGTTTCCCTGATTTAACCTGTCGAGTGTATAGATCCAGCGTCCTTAACTCTTTTGTTTATCCGATGACTCTAAAGTAACTTCTTGTAGTCTTGCTGGCGTAGGTAATTAACTAGTTCTAAAAGTAGAGCAAGCACTTATTGAAAGGATTCCTGTAGACTATCACCTATGCCCAGTCCAAGTAAATGACACTGTGAAGAACTCAGTAAGGCCAGCAAGATCACGGTCGCCTCTTCTTTTCCCGCATACGTCTACGAATGACGGCAGCTAGGGTCGAGTAAACGGTAAGTTTTATAAGGAGCTTTCTGACCGCTTTAAGAAAGAAAGGCTCCTAGACGTCCTAATTCAGGTTACAGATATCTATAGTTATCTATTTTTGTTATGCTCCAGATTTAAAAAGAGATATTGTCTAGTCTGATGACCGATATAACTATACCACCATTGGACGTTATTGGAAAAGTTTCGCATAAAACCTCTTTCTGGGGCACATGCTTTAAAAGAATGCACGTTCTGGACTTGACATGGAAAGTCGTTACAGGAAGACCTCTCAGAGCTTAATTTGTAAATGTAATGTTAGCTGCTTAGCAGGTCATAAACTAAAAGTTTACCACAACGAAGCTTGACTTGATTTCCAAATAACTACAAATGTATCAATAACATTTGTTAGCAACGTAAACCAATATATTGGGACAAGTTAGTGGATTTAGAAATCTCCAGTGAATTGATTGCTCCACAGGAGCTCATTCTGGATCGTTCGAAAGATGGAGAGCATTAACTACTCAAACATAGGGTCAAAGCATTTACTTAAAGATCGTAAGCAGTTGTGGAGAACAAATTTAAAAATATGGAAGATGAAGTGCCGATAATTGACACTAAGTAAATATCAAGATCTTTAAACAAAATGTTAGCTGTTAGAGAAACAAAAGACTGAACTGTGATCCATTCTTAATTCAGAAGATTAGGTTGTTGGACAGAATTTTCTAGGGAACAGTTCAGCTGGTCCCCAATTGCCATTTATTTCTGAACAAACTGAACAGAAAGTCTAAATATTCCCTTCAACTCTTATTAATGTTTAGAAGTCTATGTATAACTTTGATGGGTGGTAGAACAATCGGATTTGATGAGAACCTTTAAAGTTGGTGGTTCAATCTTAGTAGTCAAGTAATGGTCATTTCAAAAAATATACTAACAGTAAATCAGAATCATTCACTAAATCAATCTTTCTTGTTTTGATGTCTAAATAAGTAAATCCCATTTTTGAATAATTAACAATTTTTCCAAGTGTAGTGACTATGATATGGAGAAGAATCATTAATTAAATTTAATAATAATAATAATAATAATAATAATAATAGTAATAGTATCCTGAATGGAATTAATCTGTAATGAATTCAACCTACAAATTGGACAAATATCTACGACCCCCCTTCTAATTAGAACTATAAAGGTAACCTTGTTAATGAATTATTACAACATGCTCCTGATTTCTCATGATAAATTGTGTCCCGTGGAATTTAGGCATATCACGAGTGAAATATTTGTCACTGTTGTCTTCGAATAGTCATTTCACTCTATAGCAAACTGACTGAAATTAAAGCTGTACTATTGCACGACAACTCAGTGGTTTTAATAGGTAAACGTTCACCGAGATACCTGAACAGTATGGATTTAATCCTTAAAGATATCATGCGTGTTCACTCCAGAGGAGTCCCATAATAGGTTGATATAGTTAACTCTGGTTTTCAATGGTACACCAAACAAAATCAGTTTGTGACCAACATTACCCACAAATAATAATAACTTTGTTTTGTTTGTTTGTTTGTCTATAATAGTGCTGTGTAAAAGATCCACTGATTTTCAAACCATATAACTTTACTAGCGACAAGACTGAAACAGAACCATTGCCAATTATTACTAATGTAATTTGTAGATCACTAATGTAGGAAAGCTATGTGGATGATAACCAATCTACTCAGGTTGGACGGGAATTGTGTGATCTTCCACATTACAACAATATTACACTTTCCAGTAAATACCTAGTCTGGCTTATTTTATGGTAAT